GTGTTGACATGTCATGGGGTTGTTAACCAATGTTATAAAACAATATGTGTACTGACTGTTTAATGAGAAACTTTTTGTTCTGTAAACCTTCACCTAAAGTACAATTTAAAAAAAAAATATGCTTGGACTGTAATTTATAAGAAGTACACTTCTTAATTGAAACATTCAAAGGAATATCCTTTGAAAATCGTCTACCACCAAGAGTATAAGCTACTTAAAAAACATAAAATCACTGAATTTCTTATCGACATTGTGAAAAACTAAAGCAACTAAATAAGTTTTCCCAAGCATATATAAAATGACTGTCAATGTTTCTGACACAATAAATACCCCTAGGGTACAAAAAAATTCTTAAAATCCAAGAATCAATCAAAATCCTTTAAAGCTGTAAGTCTAGGGGCACTATTTTACTTAGCTGCCAATTTTACACACAGGAAATATGCATTAAAATATACTATACATGTAATTTTAAGACAATTTAATGATTCAGTGAAAGTGTTAGCAATTGGTTTCCTTGTTCCCCAAGCTTTAAGCTAGTTCTTTAAGATTAAACCAAAGAAATTCTCTAACTTTATAATTATGAAACAGCTCTAATACAAAGCTTTTGAAATATGTTTAAATTTTCATTTAACACCATTAAAACATTGTCAGTGCAAGCTTAATAATAAAAGTTGTTTGACTAGAAATGTCGGCCATAAAATGCTCGTATCTTCTTCAGATTTGCTATTCATGTGCTGACACAGTGATCAATTAGTCAAGCCTCAATTTTCCTAAAAACTAATTCTAGCTTAACCAAATTGTAACTGACTATTCAATGGTCTTATGAGAAATTGTAACTATTCTTTCTATACACCAAAAAAAGCCTTCAAATTACAGAAATTTTATGTTTAAAACTTAAACAGTGCTATGTAAGTAAATGTACTTTTACTTCAATTTTAGATCCATATTTTAACAAAAATAATTTAAAATCTATGTTTATCTCAAAATTAAAGCAGACAATAATAACAGTGCCAACTATTATTTTTTTTTTTTTAATTAAAAAAAATCTTGAGCATCTGCTCAGAGGAGAAAGACTGAGGAGAGAAGAAAGTTTAGAACTTCGGGCACTGCCTCTACGGACAAGCATTTTAAGAAACAGTTCTATGGGTATGTAGGAGCCCTGGTGGCACTGTGGTTAAAGTGCTCTGCTACCACCCAAAGGTCGGCGGTTCGAACCCACCAAACGGGAGAAAGATGTGGCGGTCTGCTTCCGTAAAGATTTACAGCCTTGGAAACCCTATGGGGCAGTTCTACCCTGTCCTATAGGGTCGACTCCACAGCAATCTGTTTTTGGTTTTACGGGTATAGGTATATAAGCTTAATATTTATAAAACAAACAGTTTAGAATTTGTTGAAAACTACTTCCGGACAGTTCACTATAAAACTGTAGAATGGTGTATTATTGAGAAAGCAGGTGTATCATATTTTCCTTTAATGGAATTGTGCTCCTGGCCCCAAAAGGGCTTTGCATTTGTAAAATGTCCGTTTGCATATGCTGCCACTTGCCTAGTTATTTCCACAGACAATCCTGTCTTAGTGCACACATCCTCAAACACTTAACTTAGAGGGGCCACACCTTATCAAACATCACTGCAAGCTTCAGCACGGCATTAGTACCACAGCCGTAAACATTACGTAGGCAAAACAATCAGTGAATGTGGAACAGAAACCTAACACGCTTAATATTATTGAAATTTGATCGGAATATATTTAGGTTTTCAAATTTTTTTTTTTCATTTTAATTTACAAAATGATGTCAGAGTGCCTCTAGTCCCATCTCAAAGGAAACAGGAAGAAGTGACACCATCTACCAGCTGCCATAAAGCCTCTGTCAACCTTGTCTCTACTTACCCCTCTGCGGGAATTCAAAAATAGGTTTTTCCCTAAAATAAAAGAAACTGCCTGGGTAAATGTCAAAATCGTAGCCATCAAGTAGACGTACCGTTTGAGAGTGGCTCATGATAATTAAACGGCTTATACGGCATAAAAATAAGATCAGACCGCTGAAAATCGCTGAAACAGCGGCAATTCCTCTTGTTCTCTATGCAAGCATTACAAAAAAAAAAAAAAAAAACTGCTCACAGCCTTGAAAATACCCCTCCAGATGAGCAAACTTTCTCCAGGCGAAAGGCAGCGTGAGCAGGACGCGTCCACAAGTGCAGATGTGAACACGTCCTGTGCCTACACCACAGCTGTGAACTCTGGAGGAACACGCAGGACCACGTCGAGGCGACGTGGAAGACACACGAATAAGCCCGCCGCGAAGGGGCATCCGCGGCGCGCGAGCGCACCGGGGAGAGCCAAGCGACCAGGCCGACAGCGCGGACACGCACAGATTCCCAGACACACAGGCAGGCTCCCCAGCTGAGAAGGGTGTTGGGAGGATCGCAGTCCGTCCTCCGCTGAATCCGAGGGAACCAGGGAGGCAGGACCCCAGCCGGAAGGCAGACAGCGACGGGCAACAGTCGGGGCACCTGAGGGGCGGCAGAGTCCCAGTGCACCTCCGCCAGACCAGGGGAACGAGAGGACCCCGGATCTACCCGCATCGCCTGGATCCCTCATCTGGGGCCCTTCACTTTCGGGGTCCCTGTACCGAGGGTGAAGGAAGCTGGTTCAGAGTTCGCAGCCCCGAGCCCACCCGCCAAGCCCAGCAGGGCCGAGGACACGGGAGGACACTGACCGCTCTGGCTGCAGCAGGTCCTCTCGGGGCTGCCCCCTCCAAGGGGGCTCCCGTCCCGCTCCACGCCGGTGGCCACGACAGGACGCGTTCTCCTGCGCCAGCCGGGTGAGGCGCCGGGTAGTTCCGAGAGTGACAGGACCCCCTTTTACTTTCCCAGACGACAGCCAACAGCTGTGACCTGGCCCTCTGTGAGTTTGACTCACGGTGACGACAGTAGAGACGAGGACTGCAGCTTACAGTTGAGGTTTGAAAAGTGCAGCCGTGTCGCGGGGCCGTGCTGTTCGGTCGGTCCCACCCCCTTCGCCGGGAGAGCCAATCAGAGCGTGCATGGAGTGTCGGGCTGTCACGTGAGGGCCTGGGCGGGGCGCCGGTCTGAGACTCGGGCTGCTGGCCGGGGCCCCAGCGGTGAGAGGGTGTGGCTCGCACCTGGCGGGAGCTTGAGCCGGCTGCAGAGCAGGTAGGGCGCTAGAGTAATTGCCGGGAGGGAGGGGTAAGGTGACGCTGGGAGCTGCGTGCAGGGCAGGCATAGATTACCCAATAAGAAAGGTAAACGCATGCTTAGGGCATCAGCAAAACAGGGGCACCAATTGTCCAAAGCAAAGACCCTAAATGCCAAGCAGACAGGACATAAGGAAAAGCGAACACGCAACAATGATTCAAAAAGGACTCATTGTCCTTATTATGTATGGAAATAGATATTGTTCGGTGGCTTAATTGTGATGAAATCATTGAAGAATTTCTAAGCGCAAAGAATAGAAAAAATGTTTTAAAGTATAACATGTTAGAGATTTAAAAGCTATCTAAAAGTAAAATATAGTAATTTGTTGTAACATTTGTTTTCTGATCATTAAATTTCCTTTTATGACATTTTTTCATTTATTCATTTATAATTATAGCACTTATTATAAAACAAGCATCAAAATTGAAGCATGAGCCGTTTAAAGCAAAATTGGTGGAAGTCAATTTTTCGTTGTGGAAGATCAACAGAATTTTACATTGATTGTTGAAACAACTAAGTTCACTGACTCATTTTCTTTGTTGTAGAATAAGCGGAATACTCTTTGTAGAAAATGTGGTATATAGTGAAAATCTTAGTACCCCACATCCACTAAAAATTTTATAATCCAGTTCATCTCAATCCTCTAAAATGGCGTACACCAATTTTGTGTTCAATTGCTAATATTATAGTCGCATTTAAAAAGAAGTTACATTATGGATAGCTAAGAAACACACACACACATATATATACACACGTGTATATCTAGCTCACATATCCCGTTCCAATACGTGAGTAAGCAGAGGAGGGGGCACTACAGATTATCAGTGTTTAGGGCCCTCACATGCCTTAATCTCGCCCTGACGCAGGGCTATAACTCTGAGTGCATCCCTCCCCACCTTCAGAGTGGTCAGGCCAAAAAAAAAAAAACACCCAAACCCATTGCCATCTAGTTGATTCCTACTCATAGTGACCCTATAGAACAGAGTAGAACTGCCCCATAGGGTTTCCAAGGAGCAGCTGGTGGATTCAAACTGCCGACCTTTTGGTTAGCAGCCGAACTCTTAACCACTGTGCCACCAGGACTCCCTGTAACTCTAACTGGGTGCACCCTTCCCTGCTTTCAGACTGGCCAGGCCAAGAGGTGTGAATATCCAGAGGCTAAGGAGGAAAAAAAGGAAAGTTCGTCCCACCTGCTTCTGACTCATTACCAAAGATTTGTGCCTAACAAGGACCTGTTTTCTGACTCTTCCTGGTCATCTTCCCTCTGACCTGAACATAACCCCCAAGTGGAGAGCTGTCCCAGTTGATACAACTTGGCAGATGTTCTTGCAGTATCAAGAATGCTTAGGGATTTATGGAGCCCGGGCTATAGGGGGCCAGCCCAGCACTAACGTGTGGTCCAGTGAAGGTGTCCTGAGACATGGCTGAAGACAATGTAGGAAGAGTCAGAACAGAATAAATTGAAGATGAAAACCTGCGCAAACTACTCAGGATCTGTTACCCTGTGAACAGAATGAAAAAGTTAAAAGTTGTATGCAAGACACAATTGTTTTTTATAATGTAGGATTGACTGCAGAGTACATTATCAATAATTATAAAAAACTATTTGAAAGAGATATTGGGAGGGCGATTGTCCTCTTGTTTTCAAAAAACTTTAACATTCAGTCAACGTTTAAAGAGATTTTCTTGTTCTATACCACTAGGCCAAGCAAATTCCCATCAAATCATCCTTTTGCCCTTCCACACTATTTTTCTCGAGATAAATGCATAAAATGCACTCAGCCATTGAATGAAGTCTGTTTGTTGTTATCAATCCTAATGTGTCCACCTTGTAAGCCTTGTAATTTGAGGAATATTGCTTCCATCTACCTGGTTTCTTGTTGATAACAATCAGATTGACTAAAGAAGACTAAAGTTAGTTTGGAAACCAAAAAAAAGCCACACACTGAAATTGAATTTTCAGCTATCAGTATCTAAGAGTCCACAAAGCAATGAGACTGTCTTAGGCTGGGTTCTGTAGAGAAGTAAAACCAGTAAAGCACATATGTATGTATGTATATATATATATAGAGAGAGAGAGAGATGTATATCAAAGAAGTGGCTCACATGGTTATAAGGCTGAAAAGTCCCAAGACTGTGGGTCAGGCGTCAGGCTGGAGGCTTCTCCCGACTCATGTAGCGGCAGGGGCTGACAAACCCAAGATTGGCAGGTCAGATGGTAGGCTGCTGGCTCAAGTCCCAAGAACTGGAGGCCAGATGATGAGGAGCCAAATACAGGATCCAGAGCAGAGCAAAAGCCAGCCTGCTTTTGTAGAAAGTCCATATATATTGGAAACTCCCTTTCAACGGATTGGCTGCTTGTCATGGATTGAATTGTATCCCCCAAAAAATGTGTGTAGCAACTTGGCTAGGTCATGATTCCCAGTATTGTATGATTGTGTTATCTGATGTGATTTCCTTATGTGTTGTGAACTCTACCACTATAATGAGATTATATGTGATCTCCTCGTGTTGTAAATTCTATCACTGTGATGAGGTTGACAAGATTAGTGTCTTAATGTAATCTCTTTTGAGATATAAAAGAGAGACGCCAGCAGACACATGGGAACCTCATACCACCAAGAAAGCAGTGCTGGGAGCAGAGCGTGTCCTTTGGACCTGAGGTTCCTGCGCAGAGAAACTCCCAGACCAAAGGAAGACTGATGACATGGACTTTCCTCCAGAGCCAACAGAGAAAGCGTTCCCCTGGAGCTGATGCCCTGAATTTGGACTTGTAGCCTACTGGACTGTGAAGAAATAGACTTCTCTTTGTTGAAGCCATCCACTTGTGGTATTTCTGTTGGAGCAGCACTAGATGACTGAGACACTGCTCATAGCAGATCTCATCATGAAAGTGATTACATTATATCAGATTTCATCATGGAGGTTATTACATCATTACATAACTACCAAACTACATCATAACTGCCAAACCACTGAGAATCATGGCCCAGCCAAGTTGACACACAACCTTAACCATCACAGAGACTGTCCCATCTTTTCTTTTATGAACATGGGTACCACATCCCAGAGGTCCCAGCACAAGCACTAGAACCAGTGACCTCTTTGGGTCAAAGGATTGCATTATTGTGGTGATTTTGTTTTTAAAAACTCTGGACCTCGTCAGTTCCAACATTTGATTAACCACCATCAACCACCAACTCTTAGCAATCTTCTCACACTCAACCTGCCTTCCTCTCTGTCACTAACCCAGTACCACATCACTTCACACTTAGATGCAGACGTTTCTCTTTCCATCACCACTGTAAACCAATCCTTGCTCTCACAATTCCTCTGCTCTAACCAACTAGCCTTCTAGGGGTCTTTTCATGTCTTGCGTTTTCTTGCCTCTGTCTTGGCTCCAGCTTTTCACCATCCTCATCAGCAGCACATGTTCATCAATTTCCAACTTTAAGAAGGTTAACCTCTCCAGAAATCAGACATCTTTGCTGACTAACCCCTTTCTACTCCCAGCCTGATCACCTCTTTGCCCTGTGCTCCTCATTGCAGGGCCTACCCTTGTTCCACATGGTTCTCTTATGCCCCTAAATAGATTGTTGACCCTTGTACCTGATGTTAGACTTGGCATCTATTATACATTGAATTGTGTCCCTCAAAAATATGTGTTGTAAATCCTAACCTCTATGACTGTGGTTATAATCCCATTGGGGAATGGGTTGTCTTTGCTATGTTAATGAGACAGGATTACTGTAGGATGTGTCTTAAATCAATCTCTTTTGAGATATAAAAGAGACTAAACAAGCAAGCGAAAGAAGCAGAGATGGGTGAAGAGAGATGCCAAGCCCCATGAAGATCACCCAGGAGCAGAAGCTCAAAAGAGACAAGGATCTTTCCCCAGAGCCAACAGAGACAGAAAGCCTTCTCCTAGAGTTGGTGCCCTGAATTCAGACTTCTAGTCTCCTAAACTGTGAGAAAATAAATTTCTGTTTGTTAAAGCCACCCACTTATAGTATTTCTGTTATAGAAGCACTAGATAACTAAGACAACTTCTAAGATTTGTCACACCATCCAAAGGACATTCAACTATACTTGCTTGATCTCAGACACTGTGGTTCAAGTAGCAAGGAATTCCTCATGCTAAGGATGAAAATGTATATCATCTGTGGCTTTGCAGTAAAATTCAGGAGTCAGCGTATCTCTCCATCCCACCTCACCTAGTTAAAGTCATTCATAGCCACATCAGACATGTATGTTCTCGTTCTCACTCCCGTGAGTAGGAAATGGCCATGTGACCTAATGGTCATTCTGTGGTCATTGTCCCTGACCACACAGTCTATTAAGCTTATCCTTGAGTGCCACACGCTGTCTATGGGTGGTGGTCCTCCCCAATTGCTCTAGGTGAGTCATTACATGTGACCAGAGGCTGTGGTCCTCCCTAATCACTCCAAGAGAATCACCACATGCTGACCAGGGATGGTGATCCTACCTAATCACTCCAGGTGAGTCGCACATATGACCAGGGATGGTTGTCCTCTCTGATCATTTCATGATATTCATTATATTCTATCCAGGGCAGCTGATCCTTCCTAATCACATATGTACTCCCCACAGATGCAGAAAAGGAGTGAAGTGTTATACAGACAAAAAACCCTCAAGCTCAAAATTTCTTCCATTCAACACATCTGCTTCCAAAGAAAACCTTACCAGTTATTTTCTATGTCAAGATCCTACAGTTCAGTCCAT